TGAGGAAAATGGTTAAGATGCCAAATGTTTCACTGGAGATGGAGCCCCAAGGACTTGACTTTGCTTCTTTAGCTCAAAAATGAAGCTTTTAGCCCCAGGTCAGCACAAGGTTCTCTGAGGGCCAGCCTCCACTCACCTCTGTGGTGTCTATTAAAGCAAGGCATTGACGGTGTTGGAGCTGATCACCCTCTGTCATCCTGCCTTAGGGAAACGGGTGTTCTTAACTTCAACCCAACTGCAGATCACTCCACACTTGGACATGGCCCACGACTGCTTGTCAAGTGAGCTGTGGTGTTCTGTGGCCAGGTTTAACACAGGTTTGGCCAGGTTCTTGTTCTCTACACATGTAAGGCAGAACACCAACATGGTTTGTCACAGACTTTGGAGCATTCATGAGCTCAGCAGTGGCTCAGGTGTTGTCTAGCAATGTGTTAAACTGTAGTAACTGGAGACAGACAACACTTAGCTGCAGAATTAATTTGTCCCATTATTCACATATATGATGGCATATCGATTCAGTTCCAGAATAAAAAATATAGAAGCATATAAAAAGCAGAAAGAGAGGAACTATTACATTATTTGTTACTTTTTTAATGAAGGGCTTGAACTAAAAAAAGGGTACATGTGTGATATAGCCATACAGACTCTCTTTACTTTCAGCAGAATGGATTTAAAAACTGAAAACATGTCTCATCTTCACAGAGAGAGCTCTTCTTTTCTTGGGAACTGAAAGAGAGAAATATTACATATTTTTCAAAAATAAATGCTTCTATTCAAAGCCTGAAGAGACAGATCAATTCAAATATTTTCAGACAAAACCACAAAACCAAGGAAATTGAGAAATTCAAAATTAAAAGGTTTGAGATCCTTCATTAAGTATTTAATGGAGGTTTGAGATCCTTCATTAATTTTAGCAGAGGACATACTCTATCTCATCTTTAACAATCTTTGGGAAGGATACTGCACTCAAGAGCAGTGCAATTTGTAAACACAGAAAAACTGAAGGTGTTCTTTTTCCTATATTCTGCCTGTTTTAGCTCAAATATTTGGTTTCAAGTCTTTGCATATGCATTTTTTTTTCCATTTCAGTACATACTTTGTGTTGGTTTCATCTTCCATACAAAGGCAGCATGTTTCAAAGCTTTGAAACAGCAATATCCAGTTATTGTCATCATCCTTCCCTCAGAACGGGAGCAGTTTGGCTTTGGGGAGAGCTTTTTGTTCTTTGATGTTTCCTCAGTAAAAGCAATTCCAGCAGCCCCACTGTCCCTTTGTGCCCAGCCCCGTTCAGTGGTGGCTGCAGACACGGCCGCTTCTCCCGGGCTCGTCTCTGGGAGATGGGGACCCCGGCCAGCGCCTCCCTTCCCTGAGTGCCTTCCCAGCCACTGCCATTATTTGCTCTGAGATTGCTTTTCTGTGCCCTGAAAGGCTCTGCAAACTCACGTAGGAGTAGCAGCAATTTTAAGACAAGGTGTGCTCCAAGGCAATAAACGAGAACAAAGACCCAGGAGAGTCAAAAGCTGAAGGACTCCATTTATTTCTTTTATCCATTGAATAACTGAATTATTAAATTAAAAGCAATGCTACATCAACTTTACCGAGGTGGGGGAGTAAGTCCTGAACAGCAAGACTGAGGGCTTTATTCTGCTTTTCTGGAACCCATGTCTGTCCATGAACATCAGTCAATTGCAGTCAGAAGCAAATGCAGCCCTACTGTTATGAGCAGTAAATGGCAGGACAAAAAAAACAAGCTTTATTCTTGTTCCCAAGTTGAAGTAAAAGTTAGTTCAGCTGAGTCTCCCTTCAGCTAGCTAAAACCTGCAGCAAATCAAATTTGAAAAATAAATTATGACCAACACTGAGAGTAAAACTAATATGTATTTCTGCAGAGAAATGCTCATTTATGCTGTGTCCTTTGGTCACGTGGAAATACAGCATATTTGGCAAATTAAAGGGAAATTAGAAGATTAGCAGCAGATAGGGTCAGCAAAACTCTACTGCACTGGAAGCTTTGCATTTCCTCAGTAGTGTTGACAAAGGGACAGTAGATGTTGGGATAGTGTCATGGTGAGCTCTACCTACATATGATGTTCTACCTACACACAGTGAGCTCAAACACTACAAAATGTTATTCTCTGAAGAAATTTGCAAATAAGTGTGAAACAGAGGTAGCCTTGGCACTAAAAGAGCTACATTTTTTAAAAGAAGGCACACCAGGAGCAATGTGGTGGCTGAAGCAGGTGTAGTCCTGAGTACAAAGCAGGGCTTGGGACACTTGCAGATGGCCTGCTCCTGGACAGGGGTGACAAGGCCCATTGAGCCAGTTCTGCAAGAGATGACAAAGTACAGTAATGCAGTAATTTATGTGGTTTTTAAGCACAAGGCTGTGAGAACATAATTAGGCAGTCTTCTATCAAATGAAATGAATAAAATCTATAAAACAAAATGATGAGGCACTAAATTTAGAAGAAAATTCGTTTGATTATCACATCAGAGCTGAGATATTTCAGATCATACTGTCAACTTAATTGGCTACAATTTATGTAGATTTGATAAAACTATCTGAGCTGTTACTAATGTGGGAAGTCACACTTCATGTATTCCAAAGCAGTTAGCCTTTTCACTTTCATATAGCACTTGAAAACCTTGTGCTGAACACATTTTGAACTGTATAGGGTGGAATTACTGGAATTGCTTATTATTTTGTGTTTCAGATGATTTCTGTCATTACAGTGTCTGATTGCTCCAGGCATACCTAACACCAGCAGGACAGTTTCCAGGAAGAGAGAAACAGCATTGCTCTCATCTCACTCATAGCTCCCTAACAGTGATCAGTATTATCTTGTTCCTGCTCTTGTTTCTAATGTCCACAGTTCCCTGGTTACAACTAGATCTGCATGGATTTATATGCATATGACTTGGGATAGGTGTCTTTCAAGTCACAGAACCTTCATCTAAATACTTAGACCTGTTCACGCAGCAAATAACCGAAGTTTTAGGGATTCCTGGTATTCTGTTCTGAAGTTTCCCATAGGAGTACATTCCAGTAGTACCTGTTGATAGATGCTGTAGTTCATGGGCTAACTCTTAACACATTTAGCAGAGATAAGCAAGAAAAAGCCTGCTGAATGTATTCCTTCTTCACACTTCACTGATCCCTCAACATCTGATATCTCACGAGACCTCCTGCCTTTCTAAGCTTCTTCTGAGGGATGTCACCCCAGAAATTGCATCTCACTCAGGCAATTGAGTGTAAAGTTTATTTTTTATGAAAATCTGTCATGAACAGCACCAACGAAAAGAGAGAGGTTATTTTATAAAAGAGTCTAAGAGAAGTTCATTAACAGAATTACCATAGGGAAGCGGTTATTCAATATCAGTGATCTATGAAAATTTTCATCTTTCAAATAAAACTCTTGAACCTTTCTTCTGGAAATGGTTCTCATTTGAGAACAGAGCAGAGGTTTGTGGGTCCACATCTCTAGCATTGGAAATATTTTGTTACTTTAAGTGCATTAATATTTCAAAGGGAGAGGCTCAATGAAGACATTACTCCTGTCTCTGTGTGGAAGCCTGTCCATCTCCAGATGTCTGCAAACTCTCTTGTGTATGGTGTAGACAGTTAGTAACATACTCATCTAAAAATTAGGGCACACTTCTTCAAGGTATTGCTTTGGACTTGTCTCTTCCAGTAATAAGAATAATAATAAGCTCTGCTTGAATATACAGTTTGGAAATAAAAGATTTTAATTATTTTTTTGTTTGGAAAAAATACAAGCATCTGTTCTTGTAATTTGCTTTGAAGCAAAATGTTTTCTGATTGTTCAGCCTTTGTTTTGAAGTTATTAGTCAGTTTCCAAAACCACAAACCAGAATCTTTTCCTAACTAGTTTATGTAGAAGCATTTGTGGTTTATAAGAATATGCCCTGTTCTTTACTTGGCAAAATTAACCTCCTAACACACACCTTCAAGCCTTCTTAGGGCTCTAGAATGCAGACTCTCTCCAGCCTCTCCTCTTCCACAATTCAGCTAGAGAATGAGAAGGAAACCTCTCCTTGACTGGCAAAGCACTGATGTGTGCTGGGGCTTACCACGGCTTTGTGCTGGGGGTAGAGACTCAATTCAGGACAGCTGCAGGCCATGTTAGAGGAAATTGGGCTGGTTTGGCTGGGGTGGAGTTAATTTTCTTCACAGTGGCTGGTATGGGGCTAAATTTTGGATTTATGCTGAACACAGGGCTGATGGTACAGAAATGTTTTTTATTATTGCTGAGCAGCTCTTACACAGAGCCAACAAGGCCTTCTCTGCTTTTCCTACAGCCACGTTGATGAGGGGCTGGGGGTGTGTGGAAGGCTGGGAGGAGACACAGCTGGGACAGGTGACCCCAATTGTCCAAAGGGATATTCCAGAGCATATGGCATCATGATCAGTATACAGTGCAGGGAAGAAGGAGGAAGAGGAGATGTTTGGAGTGCTGGTGTTTGTCTTCCCACATCACTGATATGTGTGCTGGTGCTCTGCTCTCCAGGAGCTGGCTGAACTCCTGCTTGCCCTTGGGAAGCTGTGAATTAATTCCTTGTTTTGCTTTGCTTGCTTGCATGACTTTTGCTTTACCTATTAATCTGGTTTTATCTCAACCCACAAGTTTCTCACTTTTACCCTTGCAATTCTCTTGCCCCCAGCTCTGGTGGGGGAGTGAGTGAGTGCCTGTGTGGTACTTAGTGGCTGGCTGGGGTTAAACCATGACAACTAAATTTTTTCTTCTGATCGCAGAAAGTCTGGGAAACAAAAACATGAATTTTTTTTAATTTTTTTTTTTTTTTCTTGAGGAGGTAAAAGGATTACAAAGATTCCTCTGATACTAAATAATGTCCTGGATATTCCATTTTTCTCTTTGAAAAGAAAATTTTAGCTTTTCTGTTTTAAAGTCTGAAAGCACGTCTTAAATAGACTCAAAAAAACCTGGAAGGCAAACCAAAAGAACTTTAAATATGTTATAAAAAAATTCTACAAGCTTTTAACTACCTAGTTCTTTAGGACAATTTTACAAGAAGAAGGGACCTAACAAAATTGATGACTGGCCATGAAATCCTTGAGTGCTGCTGGTTTGGGAGTTCTGAATCAAAACCAGCAGGATGGTAGGAAATCATAGATAGACAGAAGAAGACAAGAAGCACTTTGAAATTAACACTGGCCACACAGTGAGTATGTTGGGGGATGTCCAGTCACTGGGCACCACCAAGAAGAGCCTGGCTGTGTCCTCTTTGCACCCTGCCTTTAGGTACTTATGCACAGGGAGGAGACCTCCCCATGACCCCTCTGACTTTGGCAGGAGGGTCCTGCAGAAATTCTTGATGCACATCCTCCTTCTTCACCCCATAGTTCCCACTCCAGGAGATCTCATCTCCTGACCTACCATGGCATTCTCTGGATGCAGGATTCCCTTCTCTCACACAAGCTTTGGCTGCTGGGACTCAATTAAATGAACACATATTCCTAAAACTGCAGTGCTCTTTCAAGGGCTCACAGCAGGTCAGAGATCCTCTACTTGCAAAGCATTGTTGTTTTTTCTGGAGAAAAAAAGCCATAACCTTGCTTGTAACTGTACTGCAGTTTAACTGTACCCCTCTGATCCATGTGAGCACAGGAATAAGATGCAAACACTAACCTGTGTGTCACAGCAGGGACACCAGGACAGGTAAATGGCTGCTGCTAACTGAGGGGCAGCTTTAGAGAAATATATAGCAGGAAACTGTAATTAAATCTTTAGCGGGCAAAGTTATAATGTGCATTTTTAGCCTGGGGCGATCAACAAATTTTTTAATGTAAATATTTAATAGCAACACCAAGGAACATCTTATGTGTATGGATATAAGACCTTTATTCCCTAAGGAACTTCTCTTAGGGTTTTTTACCCTTTCTTTTTTCCCCAAATACTGCTAATCTCAGAGGCTGCTCTGTTGACAAGATTTCGGATTTTACGTGGAGCAGAATTCTCTGCATAATGCAAAGTCTTACCTGCCCTAGGAAGCTTTTGCTAGTTCTTCAGCCTTCAAAATACAGTCCCCTTGCTTCTGTAACCTGACAACAGAACTACCGTCTGCAATCAATCCACTCTCTCCAGTAGAGCTCCAGGTAAAGACAACAATTTTTCTCCAAGTACTGCATCAGATGGGTAGAAACCATCTCATCAACATTGTGATGGGGATCCTGACAATTCTTTTCTCCAAACACAATCAGAATACAGTTCTGGGAGTGCTTGCCCCTATGTCCATGACAGACAGTTTTGTAACTTCAAGACAGTAAATTTCTGGTGGTCTGGTCTGGTCCTTTCCTCTTGAAGAACATCTTCTTCAAGAGGAAAGGACCAGACCACTTTAGCTGAAGATTTAGGTCCTCTGAAACCAAAGTCCAGCATTTAGACTCCATGGCCCTTCACCATAAAAAGATTTGTTACACAGCCCTCCACACTTCAGGACACAAAGGTGAAGGGACACAGGATGAAGAATGAACATGAGTTGCAGAAGTAACTGGCTGCCCTGATCTGTATTCTCAGGTGAAATGCCAGTTTGTGCTCAGGCCCATTTTCAAGTACAATCACCATACTAGTTATCTCATGAGATATCACAACAATTGGCAATAAATATCAGCCACAGCAGGCTCCATTTGTCACAAACTAAATGATTCCCACCATTACTTATTCAATAGGGCATGTATTTTTAGTGTATGATATTTTGCTACTATTTTATTTTGCATATGCTTCACTCCTGTGCATGTAGAAATGTCCAGGTGTGAAGGGAGCAGAAAAAAATTGTAGATGGGGAAAAGGGAAATGAATCATAACTCACGTTGTATATTAAAACTAGCTGCATGTAACACATCATGTACAGGTATGGAAGAAAAAAATCTTTATGACAGATTATGCTAATTAGCTAATTATAGATGATAGACCAGATCCCCATAAGGGTTGACTACAGTAATATCTTAACTGAGGAGCACTTGATGGCCTTCAGTGGATTCAGCTTCATGACATCTCTTTAATTACATTCCACCCACCAACTCTTCTACTCACTATTATGATCTTAGCAAGTCTATTCATGTTTCCTAATTTGGCGAAGAGCAAGACAACAGATATTTAACAGAAGTTGCTCTAAAGTGCAAATTATGTAGGGATGGGTTTGCAAATAATGAACCAACTTAATGCTTTGTAGGCTTCTTATTTTTGCTGCTGGGTTTGCTTGCTAAACTGAACAAGAAAACATGGATCAAAATTAATACAAAATTAATCATGTTAGCTTGCAATTTACTGAAACTAACCATGAAATATGACAATACTGGGGGTAAAGTTGGAAATAACTTTACCTCCTGTGGTTCTAAAAGCTTTGATATCTGCAGCATGTTTAAGTGTACTTGTGATTTTTTTTATTGTACCATATTATAGGATCACAGAATAATGGAAATTATCCAGAGTATTTGGAGTTATTCTAACTGTTTAAAGTAGGTATTTTCTACAGAGTACCACAAGAAAGAAAAAAATAATATCAAAGGGAAATCCCTCAGTAGTGAATATCTGAGAAGATTATAGTACTGATGTAAGAGAGAATTAATTTCCAAACTGTGAAAACCAAAGGACACCCTCATCTATCAGTACACACTCTGCACAGGCATATTCCATTGACCAGTCAGTTCAGCATTCTTTTGAGATCATCACAGCCAAAGGGTGATTTCTAACCCCTCCTTGTAGCTGGAGCAAAGTATCAGGCATATGTGACTGTGCATTTCTTGCAGACTGAGATAATCTTCTCTGGATTTGCTTGATCAATCATAAAGCAGCTCTCTGACAATATCATATTTTATACAAGGCTGCAGGCCACAACTTAAGCACCGTATCTGATGAATTTCCTCTTACAGGGGACACTCCTTAGATTTAGTATCACTCAAGGCTGCTGGATGTGGCATGTGATTAATTTACATCTCAATTTTATGTGGAATTCATGCACATGCTTAGTTCTGAACAACATCCAAACTCACAGGCTCCAGCAAGTACTGTACCTGCAGCTCCTGTGGAAACTGAGTTTTCAGATATGATCTGTGACTGCACTACCCAAAATCTAGAAGTCTGTATCTCTGTCAGAACCTGATAACCAATACATCAAAAGAAGGACAGAGACAGAAATTACTTCATAATAACCTCTCTGCTTTCAAGATGCCCTTTACTTTGCTGAGCTTTCTGTAGAAAACTTTAGAGTGAACATCTGAGCATGCCCTAAATGTTTCTGTCAGATTCTCAGTAAGGTAATTACTAAAAAAACTTTTAAATGTTAAAACCAGCAATCATCTGAGAGTAAATACGGGGCTAAATTTACATTGCAATATCTCTTACAGGAAAAAACCTCTTTAAAGCCTCACATTAAAAATTCATATTTCTCTGGGCAGTGCTTTAGTGAAATGACTAAAATGTTATATTTTACAAAATTATTTTTTCCCCCAAGTTTCCTGAAGAGAAAGACTTTGTTGCATCTTTAAAATATCAGGAACGTTATGACACAGCAGGGTAAAAGCAAGAAAAGACTCAACACTCTTTCCTTCCAAATGGCATATATATACTGTACATAAAAAATAAGTTAATGATGCAGAGTGTACTGAGGTAGTGTACTCAAATTATACACCATTTCTTTTAAGATTCCTGGTTCTTAGCAATTCTGCAGTCCCAGAACCCCTTTGCTTTGCTTTCTGTTTTCCTCTGGTCTTCATTTATGTTTCTGTGCAGTAAATTCCAGATGATTTTCTCCCGCTCAACTCCTCTGCCTCTCTTCAGGATAAAAGGAATTATCAGTCAGTATGCACAACTAGCAATTCAGGTGAATATTATGTGAGACAGCTATCTTTTTCTTACAGTAGCCAGGGTGGGGGTTTTTTTATTATTATTTTATTAAATCTTCTCTGTATATCTGAGTTTTCATTGTAAGTGCCTGACACATCTTTACTGACTCAGGCTTTTCAAAGGAAATCAAAGGATAATTTCATGGACAGAAATTATCATTAATTTCTATAACATTCAGAATGTAGAACAACAAAGGTTTATGGGTCTTCTTTGAAATCAGATATAAATTATTCTGAAGATGGCACTGAAGTGCTGAATATTTTTTTTTAAATAAAATTATCGTGGAGTGGTTTGGGCTGGAAGGCGTCTTTAAAGGTCATCTAGTCCAACCCCTCTGCAATAAGCAGAGTCATCTTCCACTAGACCAGGAAGACTGCTCAGAGCCTCATCCAGCCTGATCTTCAATGTTTACAGGGTTGGGGCATTTATCACCTCTCTGGGCAACCTGGTCCAGTGTTTCATCACCCTCACTGTAAAAAACTTCTTCCTTTTATCTAGTCGGAATCCAACATCCTCAAGTTTAAGACCATTACTCATTATCCTATGACAAGAAGACCTAGAAATTCTGTCCTCATCTTTTCTAAAAGCTCACTTTGAGTACTGAAAGGCCACAGTGAGATCTGCCCAGAGCCTCTTTTCTCCAGGCAGAACCACCTCACTCTCTCATTCTGTCTTTCATAGAGATTCTCCTGCCCTCCTTTCACCTTTGTGACCCTCCTCTGGATTTGCTCCAACAGCTCCTTCCTGTGCTGGACTACAACAAGTCCTGGAATGCCACAAATAGCATTGGGTATGTTTGTGTGATCAAATACATGGAACCATTAGCATGTAAATTTTGAATTACATAAATAATTTAATATCAAATTACTAATTTTGCAAAGGAGCTTTTTAAAAATATTTACCTACTTGTCCATCACTGCAGTAAATTTATTTGCATTGCAAAACATTCATTTGTGGTTATATTGTAAAAATACAAGTTCAATATTTTGCAAAACTGGAACTTGTGGTTATGAAGCAATATGTTATTTTTAAGGTGGCTTCGATATTCCAAATATACCGATTTCTCAGTATGCTGAATAGACTGCTTCAGGCTGGTTGATGGGTGCCATATATTATTGGATATAGTCTCCAACACAATCTATGTTTGAAATAACAGCAAATCCCAATTATGACCTCTAATATTTTTTATTTGAATTATGGGATGTGACTCCAGGTCCACTGAAGTAATTGAAAAGCCATCTTTTTCCTTAGAGAGGTTTCTGGATCAGCCTGCTCCTCCTAGAGCCATGCAGAGAAGCTCTCTTCTACTCACCTGCTTCTTCCAGCTACTGTTCAGCTTTGGGGACATATTTCAGCTCACTCTTTATGTTCTGAATCTCTGACAAGTTGACAGCAGGACCTGGAAGCTTCTTAGCTCCTGGGAGCAGCTTCTTCTCTTTCTCCTCCTCCGTTGAAGCAGAAGCATTCTGCACAAAAGGACACCAGTGACCTTCCTGCTGCAATAGCAATCTCTTGATCATGAGCATAGATCAGTTATTTGAAAAACAGGAAATTATGTTTTTATACTAAAGGCAATCCCAGTGGAAAATAGGGCAGAGGCATGAAGAGATAGGTTATTTTGTTGGTTGTTGTCTAAAATGTCTAACAACATTCTAAAAAGGACAGAAGATGCTCAGTGTAGAGGAATGAGGATTAGAATGGGTAAGAATTTACAGTGCCAGGCAATTACTAGAAAATAACTGACTGGAAAATTAAAGGCAACTCCAAATTTTTCATATTTTAGATGAAGAAAAAAATAGAAGAACAATTTTTATCATCTAATTCCTTTGAGAGTTTCACAGTTGCCAGACACTTGGAGAGGAAGATCATCATGCCCTTCTTCAGCTCTAGAGAAGAGCTGTGATAGTCGGTTATGGACTCCAAAAGCTCCATGCAAGTTCAACATGAGTTGAAAGTTAACTTTTCATAACCTCATTTGCAATACCAGAGGGGTTTTTGTAATTTTATGTTTGAATTATGGTAGTGCTGCATGGCTATTTTGCTGACACTGTAAAAATGCCAGTTAAATAACAGCAATTACACAATACTGAGCAACTCAGCTGATTTCCCAATGGATCACAGTATTTCACCCCTTGGTACTTCCTCAGCTGTACTATTGCTTCTAGGTGAGTATTTTAGACCATTTCTACCCTAGACTGGGTAATATTTTGAAGGAGTAGATTTCCAGACATGAGTTTATTTTTGTTCCAGCCTCTTGTGTATTTTATAAAGCTGGTATACAGGAGGAATCAAGTACATGTAGAGATTAATTTATATTTTACTACAACTAAGTTCATGATGAAATTATTTTTCATTTTTGATTACTCTGTGAATGTCATCTTGTGATGGGCTTTTTAAAGTTCAATCATTATTTAGATTTGTTAGCCACCTTTTTTGAAAAGGTGCATTAACTGTGAACAGTCAATTCTTAATATTTAACTTAATTTTTTTAAATTCCAACATTACTTGTCAAATATTATTGGCCAGTAAACCCCCTTATTTTTTTTCTCTGTTGACTAATGGACTATATGCTAATCAGGAAGAAGACTGCAATGTCAAGTAGCAAACAAACAAGGTATTGTAGAAAACTGTCATTTTCTTCCTATCTGATCTTTAAGGACTTTCCTAAGACCACCAGATATAAGAAAACGGAAGTGATAATTACATTTCTTGGCTCGGTACGCTTGTGTTATCTTTCCTCACATTTTAGCCAATGCACTATTAATTAATCCAAGATAATACTAATAATATTTTACTATTTTTTGCTAGATAATTTCAAATCCCAGCCAGTAATTCAGCACCAGGAACTGTATGTACTGCCTGATATCTGGTTTAATGATTTAACATCCTGAAACAGTAGCAAAGCACAGCAGCAGAATAGGTAAATTGATATAGAAGCTGTTTGAAAGGATGCACAATATTGTACCAATAGTCAAAGATGCCATGAGCTTGTATTGTTTCCTTTGACAGTTTTCCTAGCTAATCTGAATAATCAGGGGAAACAAGCACTCCCTGAACCCTGTAGTACTTATTAGTACATAGCAGAAACTGTGTAAAAAAATACCATTTCAAGTCATGTGCAAGACCATTCCTCTTGTAGAACAAGTGGTGCAAGCTTTGTACACATTTTGGAGACCTTGTGCTCCATAAATTGTCAGTGTTCTCTCCCAGCCTCAGGTGTTTGCTATTTGTGACCCACTGCTCCCTGTATCACTCACTCCGTGTACAGCACACAGCTGAGGTTAGACTAAAGCCTTCCATTTTATGGAAGGAAGCCTGAAAGTCACTTAGATATCCAATAAGGGTTAAAAAGTACAAGCATGGGAATGCTCTGATTGAAGAAGTGTTATTTTCTGTAATTCCCATCCTCCATTTATTTTCATGTTAACATATCTGCTCCACTGACCTTCAAAAAATATACATTTCTATCTGACTCCACCACCCCTTTGAGTAAGATCCATATTTCCCTCATCTCCTATGTCAATGCTTTAAAATACAGTGGAAAATGCAGTTAGCAGTGATTATGCACTGTTAGGAAAGGTTGCATTTGTCTAAAACCACTCTTAAAAATCACGAGCTGTATGGCAAAACTTAACAAGATGAGAAAATTGAAATGACAAGTTCACTGGTAGCATTTTTATTCTATTCCTAGAACAAGATCTTTTTCTGTAGAGTGTAATCCCATTGTTTTGGTTAAGTAGTGCTCATAAAACCTGGGCCAAGAACCTCCATAATGTCCTCTCTCTCCTAGTCCATAATACTCTCTCTCCTAGAGAGTATTCATACAGCTGAGAAACAAAGCAACATTCAATTACCTGAAGAAACGCAATTATCAACACCAGTCATTTATTTTATTTCTCAAACACTACTAGAACTCACACATGCTATATTAGTTTCTGCTTAATAACATGCACTCCTTCACCAGTTTAATTACTGCAGAGAGAATATGCTGTGATTCCTTTCCAAGGGGGAAAGCCACAATATGTGTTCAAGGTCATTTTTTATATTTGTTTTTTAAATCTTCATAAGAGCCAAGTCAGCCTAGGTTTGATTATTTCAGGAAAGTTCTCTGTAAACATATTATATGAAAATATTGCAAAATTCAGAAAAAAAAAAATCTCAATGAGACAGGAAAGGAAGCATTGGCTCTTACATAACCTGTCCTGCCCCGGGCTGTGAGGAGCAGTGGGAGCTCTGGCCCAGCAGGATGAGTTCTCATGTAGGGATTGTGAATCCAAACTAAGTAAACTGGCTAGGAAACCAGAAGTACCCATTTTTTTTATCTTGCTTGGAGTATATACCACTACCTTTTCTTCCACTGTGGGTGTTAGGGTCTCATTTATTATTGAAGTTAATGGTAATTAAGATGCTTTAATATGATTCAGAAATATGATATCTGTGTTTAATCATAACCTTTGTGACCAATGTTAGTTAAGGTATAAATTGGATTTTATATTCTAAACTCAGTGTTAAACACTTCCTGTAAAATACAAGCATGAAAATATAGAATTCAGTCTAAAATGGAGTATTTTCACCCCTGGGCAGTTAAATGGGTTCAGAATTTCTGGTTTAACTTGTAAGCATCTTCACGTTCAATTTCTTCTTGTTGATAAACCTTCCAGAAAGCATTGTGTTTGAAAACTTGTTTCAATACTGTTAAGCTGTAACAATAAATCACAGGGCGACAGACAGCAGCAAAGTCTTCCAAAGCCTTGCTATAACTTTTCCTTCTGTATCTCATCAGCTCCCATCTAGGCAAATACTTCTGGTGAAATCCTATCTCTCTCTCCTGACAGCAGATCTCATCCCGCTGGGGAAGCAGCGCTGCACACCCTTGAAACAGTTTATATTCCTATAGGTGCTTTGGCACCAAAAGCAGAACTATTTATACATGAAGTGTTAGTGAGTAGCCATTTATTTCCATGAATGACCAGTGCATGTTCAGCTGTGGTACCTAAGGTTGGTATGGGGAGCTATAAGATCACTTTAAAGGCTCCCATTTTATTGCAGGGATTTTCCTCAGAAAAAAATCAAAAAACCTTTTGTGCTTACCTCCTCCACTTCTTCAGGTGTAAATTCTTTTCTTTTATGAGGGTGGCCCGCACCAGGTCGAAATGCTCCCATTGGGATGTTAATATTAGCCTGTGAGGAGGAAATTATGATGCATATAATAGTGACTGATAAATAAAGATACAGTTGGTAAATGGCAAAACTCGAAAGGAATGGGATAAGCATATAGACATTATCATGGTTTCCAAGCACTTATGCCTTTAATGTATGCATCATCACACCACTCCTGTGGAAAGAGAAGTGCTTTCATCTCCATTTGAAAGAGAGAAAGTGGTAAAACAAACTAGAAAGCTTTTGAAGTTCTGCATTTTAGACTAATCCCTTCTGATTTCATTGGACTTAAAAACAAATGAGTACTGGACACTAAAGTGTCTTTAGGCACCTGGGTCTGCTTCAGTTTGGTCAAGGTCAAACAGAAAGTGAGTGCCAAAAGCAATGTTTAAGTGTAAATCATGCAAATCCTTCAATAGCACCCAATGACTGGACCACTCTCCATTCTCCAATGACACCAGTTTTCACCTCACTTAATCACAGGAATCTTAGAAGGGAAGCCTGCCCTGGGTCATCTTAAGCCATAAGTATTTAAAATGTGATTTTACCAACAAAATTTCTCCCGGTTGGTACAAACTGCAAATACTTGAACAAGCTCCAATACCGGGCAGACCACTGGCCCCTGGCTTCTGCAAGCTCCCTCCAGAATTATACCCACACAACTGCATCAATCTCATCTTTTATCTGGGGCAGAAAACCAGTAACCATAACATAATTTGGGCTGATAATGGATATCTTAAAAGTAAAGATTTTGGGGAATAGAATGGCACAAAACACTGCTTAGGAAAGAGCAGCTGAAAAGTATCCATTTCCCAATGTGACCCAGCCAAGATTGTTTTAAAAGTCAAATGGCATGATCAAGTAAATGCACAATTTATCCTTATTCTTATCTCGTGATCTCAGAAGAGAAGCTGCTCCTAGGAAATGTCATCAAAATACCACGACTCCCACTGGTGAAACCTGGGGTTGAATCGATAATGTTACGGAGCGGAAGCAGAGAACCTTCTAACAGCGAGCTCTGTTCTTGTCCTTTACCATCTGACTGATCTGCACTAAATGAAGATGAATAATCCCATCCTTCTGCTCAAGTTATGGTCTTGCAGATCGTGACCCACTCAGGCAACCACAGGAAAACAGCTCATGGTTTTCAGTAACAACAACTGTTCTGACAGCTGTAATCAAATGAGGAGCAAATGAAGAATCCAACTGCCAAGAAATGAATGCTTTTCCAGTATTCTACTTACCTGTTTCTCATTATGTTATTTATGTAAGATGACACTGTAATTTCAGGAGGGCTGCCAAATATCTGCAGGGTCACAGACAACCAAGTAGTTGTTTCATAAAGGTTTTCCACTGGGCATTAGTTTAGATATTGTGAAACTTTTTGCCTGCACTTTTTAAGTTCCCAGGGGATAGGGCATTTTCAGCCTCACAGCTCCTAACTCGTTATTTCATTTATGGGTGGAAAAAACCCAGCTTTGCTATTTCCTGTTTTAAGTAACTGCCCCACTAAGCTCTGGTATCTCCAGACAGCTTCGATTTTTGGAATGGGAAACTTCTCTGTAAATTACAGCTAGCATGGTCATACAAGTTTGAAGAGTTGAAACTGTAAGAGATATCGCTCCTTGTGGTGCACATCCTGAACTTGGACATTCCTTCCCCTTGGAGGCAGCCAAAGCAGAAGCCAGCCTCCCACGGAACACTACAGCCCTTGCATTTCCCACAGTGATTGACAGACCAACAGTGACTAAAAGAGGTTCAGAAAGCAAAAATGAACCACTAAGTCCCAAGCTGCTAATTAAATTCAATAAACAACTCTTTGGTCTGCTTCAGCAGTTTCCCAGTAATCTGTGTCACACTAACGCAGTTTGTACTTTTTTGCCAGCTTAGAGTTCAGGCAGGAAGTACACAGTCATGACAAAATAACTTAGTAAAATGAGCGTCCTTTAAGAAAGACATAGTTAAAACTGTTTGGATCTGATAACACATACTGTAAATTAAAATATTTACATCATGAAATGAAAATATGACACTTCCAAACAATTCCTGACCACAGTTAGCAAAGTCCTGAGCTGTGAATCTCTGTTAATCCAGTGCTGGTCCTGTCTCACAGATGAGCAGCTGTGTAATGGGTGTGCCAAATTCTGTACACCAGCATAGCTCTGCTGTGTTGTTGTGCTGTGTTCAGCACAATTTCACAATTTTGTTTTAAAAATACATTTCAAGACTTTTGTCACCTGTGAGTTGAAATGTAGATATGACCCTAGAGGATCTCCATCCAGTAAAATGCTAAAAAGGAAATTTTCTGTTCTAGACTCTGGAAATCCTAAATTATAATTGCTTTAGACAGGCTTTCTAAGTGTGATTGCAATGTTTAACCATGCTAATTATGAAAACTACTGAGTTTGCCTCTTCCTTTGTTTGAAAGGCCTACTATATTTACTGTCATTGCAGTTTTTGCAGTGACTGGGTATGTGCTCTACCAGGGTCCTTCTGAACAGACCAAAGGTAAAATACTTGCAAAAATGGCATACTAATATATTGCTGGTTTGACTCAATTAAATTGGTACTTTGAGATTTTTTTGGTGTGTTCTTCTTTTTGTTTATTAATAGAGAGAGGGTATTAAGGTTAGGATATAACTGATACAGCTGTGCATGAGTTGAGGACTGTTATGGATAAGTCCTTCACAGCATCACAGCCATTCCTGGCTGTCCAGATGGATACCTGAGTAATCTGGAAAGACACTTTTGTAGAAATGTATTTAATTACAAAAAAATTTAAAAAGGAAGGAAAGGGGGAAGGGGAAAGGAGAAAGGGGAGGAAAAAGGGGAAAAGTAAAAGGGGAAATGGGAAGGGAAGGGAAGGGAAGGGAAGGGAAGGGAAGGGAAGGGAAGGGAAGGGAAGGGAAGGGAAGGGAAGGGAAGGGAAGGGAAGGGAAGGGAAGGGAAGGGAAGGGAAGGGAAGGGAAGGGAAGGGAAGGGAAGGGAAGGGAAGGGAAGGGAAGGGAAGGGAAGGGAAGGGAAGGGAAGGGAAGGGAAGGGAAGGGAAGGGAAGGGAAGGGAAGGGAAGGGAAGGGAAGGGAAGGGAAGGGAAGGGAAGGGAAGGGAAGGGAAGGGAAGGAAGAGAGAGAGAAAGAGAGAGAGAAAGAGAGAGAGAGAGAGAAAAAGAAAGAAAGAAAGAAAGAAAGAAAGAAAGAAAGAAAGAAAGAAAGAAAGAAAGAAAGAAAGAAAGAAAGAAAGAAAGAAAGAAAGAAAGAAAGAAAGAAAGAAAGAAAGAAAGAAAGAAAGAAAGAAAGAAAGAAAGAAAGAAAGAAAGAAAGAAAGAAAGAAAGAAAGAAAGAAAGAAAGAAAGAAAGAAAGAAAGAAAGAAAGAAAGAAAGAAAGAAAGAAAGAAAGAAAGAAAGAAAGAAAGAAAGAAAGAAAGAAAGAAAGAAAGAAAGAGAAGCTGTAGAGAAAATGGAATGAAATCCGGAAACCAACAAACAACAAAAACAAACAACAACCAAAAACCCTAGAAACCTCCTCACCCTTACCTCTGGGCAAAGCCAAGAATGTTTAAAGTTAAAATAATTTCCAGTCAGAGCTGTTCACAGCCTTTAATACACTGAGAAGGGGAGGTCAGCAATTGTTTCCAGCAATTAACATACTTTTGCCCCAAACTACTCTTGGGAACCAGTTGCTGCCTCTCACACATCTGTATTTAGTAGCTACTGGGAAGTGAACATTTTTGTCTATATCTAGTACAGTGAGAAAAAAACCATTTCAGACACAGAACACCATGAAACACTTCAGCTAGTGAGGTGCCATTACATTCCCATTGCTGCAGCATGATGTGCATTCCCCAGGGCACATCAGTCCTATTATACCAGCACACAATAGCAAAGGATCATAAGATATGAATCACAATGTATAAAAGTAATGTGACATTTTGAGTCATAGTTCTTAGACTGCTCAAAGCATAACAAGCATCAATTCAAGTGCAAGTCTCCCTACTAGAACCACCTATGACACAATGCTTAATAGATATATTTTAAATTTTTGCTGTAATTTTTCTCACAATTCAAATTACCTTTGCAAAAACTAAAGTTTCTTAAAATATTACACCTAGTGCTTAAATTTAATGCATTTTTTAAATGAACAACCTAGGAGCATTGTTTATATTTAGAAGTTGGAAGCCATCCTAGAAGAAATAAAATGCAGCCTAGCATTACATCTCTAAGAAAAAAATGTAAACCAAATAATTCCTTAGAAATGTATGTATGTACCTACTGAGTTTAAATGTAAAATATAAATAAATACTTTTCAGCTATTAAAGAGCCATATTTTTTCATTAATCCTACAAACTTTTCTATAGTCACTGTAAAAGAGGGATTAAAATTTGAACTGAGTGAAACCAAAAGTCTGGAAAAATCACTTTTTTTTTCTAATTTCAACAAAATTAGAGTACAGTATTTTGCATGCCTATTTTGGCAGAATTGATGATGATGGTGATGATGATGATGATGATGATGATGATGATGATGATGATGATAAAAAGAATCTGCATTTTCACAGTGCCTTACATTTTCAGTATGCTGCCTAGCCCCTGGCTAATTAATCTTGATACGCCAATCCATTGCATTAGTATTATCTCAAGAAAACAGAGAACAAAGAAGACTTCAGAAATTCCATTTTGTGTTTCTTAGGTAAGGCAACTTGAACTTGTAGTAAAATTTCATTTGAAGTGCATTTTACAAAATACATGAAAATTCTGTAAGATTCTTCAGTTCAGAAGATATTTGGCCTTTTGATAAGAACCATTGATAACATGAACTACAGCTGTACTTCATGACCTTACTTCATGATGATGCTGGGATAATTCTCCAGCTGTTTCTTTTACAAGTATGCACCAATCCATTCTATCCTTATAAGCAACAAGTATGCAACAATCAACTCCACCATCCTTCAATATATCATTGAAGAGGTATGTGGCAGACAAGAATCTTTCAGATTAAAAGATCAACGTTTCTCTCATTTTCCTTTGGCTTCTAAATAACTGCTTCTTAAACAGTTATTTGAACTTGAAAGTTTTTCTCCTTAAGAATGCAGACATGAAAAACTTCACAACACCCATGCTATCTTTTTAGCTTCTAATTCTCCCAATATTATATTGGCTTTGTGGAAAATCTAATGGTTGCAGGAATTATTTTTACTTAACAGCTATGCAGATGCATAACCATTTTTGCTTAGATGATCCTCCAATAGGCATAACCTAACACTGCAAAGACCATGCAAACAAGTGATTAATGAACCTATCTGATACAGTTTTTTTTTGTCAGCTCAGATCAAAAGATGGTCTCCAGGTCACACTTTTTCAGTGCTTTCATATCTACTAAGCTTTTCACTCTAACAGAATAACCCCATCTAGCACTACTATGGTGCTTTTTCTGAGTAAAAATGCGGTCTGCCAAGCAATGGAGGATGAGATTTATTATTTTATTATATTAAAAACATAAATGCTGTCTCTTACCTGAATGGCTTTGACATGTGATGCTGGTTGTTGTGACATTTTTACAACAGAGGCTTATCCCTGCAAGCAAAATTGGAAAGTGTTACAGGCTCTGACATTCTGATAGCTATGGAAGATAAGCTAGAACTTAACCCATGCTGCCTCTTGACAGGCATCCATTTCATCTGCCCAGCTCCTGTTTCCATCTCAGTTTCCAAGCTGCTTAGTTATTCCTTCTGATATCAGGAGGAGGCAGAACACTTGAGCTTCACCAATTAATCTTTCATAGCCACAAATGAAGCTATCTCTTTCACATTAAAAACAATAATGAGTAGAGATAAGGAATCTCTCAAACCTTAACAGAACTGTAAAATGAGTAAGAATTAAAGGAAGCTTTTGAGGACAAGCAGTGTATGATTAGCCCAGTCAAAGTATGTATGTGGAATTATAAGAACTTTCAGTTTAAGCCTTCTCTCAAATAAAATGTAACTTGTTAGAAAATATTGATAAATGCAGACATAACCATTTTCTTTCTCAGTCCTTGCAAATCTTTAATGCCTGTGGACTGAAAGTGATCAAGATGGTCAAGCAGAAAAGTTCTCCTTGACAATTGCTAGAGCACAAAGTAGCCTCCCTTCAAAGTTTTGAATCATACAGATTCATCAATTTGCTTTAGCAATGAGATCCAAAATTACATATTTTTCCATGTAACTTTATGCAAGTGGAGACATATGGACTGATACAGTATTAATATACAATAGCAAAGGGGAATATGCCAAAGTAAAAAGAAATTTTATTAGCAGATTATTTGAAACACCATCTCTGCCTTTTATTCTCTCACTGAATAGGGAGAAGTTAGATTTTAACTGGAGTAGACTTTCATCAATGCCTTGTTATTTAACTATCATAATATAAAGTAAGGCAGTAATTCTAAATACTGAGAAATTAATTCACCAGAAAAGTCACTGATCACCAGTGAACTACAGCACATTTTTGATACTGCATATAATCTTAGATAGGAAGGGAAATAATGAAAACAGAAATAAATGACAAAGGAGACAACAGTAGAAATACACTGAGAAATTTAAAGTGTGTGAAGACCTGGGTACCTCAAAGAGTATAACTGCCACATGAGGTAGTTCCCAAAAAAAAATACAGATGAGTTGTAAGTTGGCTTCAACTTGGAATGTCAGCAATATCAGCCTGAATTTGTATTGCTGGGATTGACTAGAAGACTTCCTCCTGCATATTCTCACATCAGTTTTAAATCTGTGTGCAATGCTGAACAGAATTAAAAATGCCATTAGAGGTCTCCCTCTAGTCACGCTCCTAGCTGCAAAAAGTGGTGTCCAAACCAACACAGCATTTAGAGGACAATCATGTTCATAAATTGTTTGGGTTTAAATTGCTTCCACTAAATTCATAAATCAGAAAGAATCTCACTGTGCAAAATAAAACCAGCATTCTTTTAATGAGCTTTATATTGTGGTTTTATATATACAATCTTAAAATGAGAGGGAGTTTAAAAAACTTCAGAATTCATTTTAGGGGATGCAATCTCAGTAAATGACATTCAAGACAAAATTCAAACATTTCAAAAACACAAAAGGATTTACTACACTCTCTCTCCTTTATTTTTTAAAACCTTTATTAGGCATATAAATAACTGTTCCATTGATCAGTGACTGTATTCCAAAATAAACACAAAACAATCCCCCAACTGACTGGGAAGATAGGAGTCATAATATAGAATGTTTAATTAATTTTTTATCAGCTTCTCATCTTTCTAATCAGAATGAAAAATGGAAACAAAAGCACATTTAAAAATGTTTAAATAGCATTAAATATTTTGAAACATAGTAGATCTACTTCCCAAACACTCTCACAAAGAAATTCTTGCTAAGATGTACTTCATCTTGCATGCCTGTGCATTGCAAAAACACCCATCCATGCCTCTTGGGCCCCTTGGAGATAAATGGCAAGGATTTACCCTGAACCTCAGCTTTGCAACAAGCACAGCATTAGTGCTCCTCAGCGAGGTGCTCTAGGTTCAGAAGCAGTCAGTGTTGGAAATTACTGCAATCAGACACCGGTTCCTAAAGAGGGATGCATGATACAATTGTGTAGGACTGCTTTTGGAGGAGGTGATTTTCCTACCAGACCGTGCTGTCCTCATTACCGCCAGAGAAATCAGGACAACAGCACACCACTGAGTAAAAATAGATCTCTGGCTCTTTCCCCTTCCCTCCCTTCCCTGAATTTCCTTACAGAGCAATACTGACCATCAATCATAGGAAAATAAACCTTAGCTTACAGAAGTATCCATTACAGAAGTGATTAGTTAATTTCTAGACATTCCTTTTTTCTTTCACCATGTATCTCAGAGAGAGAGTCAAGAGTGCTGCACTGATTGTATTAAGTTATTTCTGGTACTCCAATCAGCTCTACAAACTTGAAAAAATCCCTCTTCACCCTCATTTCCACAGCAGGATTTCACATCTCTGGCAGGCAGAGAAAAGCAGACACGCTGCCTCTATTCCCCGGTGCCTTTTTGGCCTCCCCTCACACCTTACCTTTTACCTTTTATGGGCTGCATGCTGAGCCAAACTTAGAAAGCAGTGGCAATGCTAGTGCAGTTTGGAGCTGGTTTACAGCAGCCTTCCCTTGCAAATTCCCTTGCTTTGCAGTGAAAGTACTCACAGGCAGGACCACTTGTGAAATATAGGACTGCTGCAGTGAAATAAATGAGTGTTTTGAAGCGAAACTTTGTAAAACAAAGGAACCTATCTTCTGTCTCTCTGCTAAAATAATTTCTGACAGGGATGCAGCAAGATAATAAGCTGATTTATTCAATTTGCTTTAAATACGATGAGATATCATAATGCCATCTTTTGTAATGCACACAAGAGATGCACAGTAGCACACAGACAACAGCAAGAGCCCTCCCCCTGCCCAGCTGGAAGCTGTCCTCTCCCCCCACTGCATGCACGGCATCAAGCACAACAGGCATTTTGGAGACAGAACTGCAGTGCATTATCTTATTAAAAGACTTTGACAGGAGCTGAACGACTGTGAGACCCAACCAGTACAATGAAAGAAGAGAAACCCCTACTCGGCAGCTTTCAGCCTGTTACATGAAAACTTACTACAAGCTCTAGGCAGATGGGGTCACATTTTCCATAATACATACACAATAATCTTTTCTACAGTTGCCTGTTAAGCTTAGTGAAAGAAACCTCTCTTACATCAAGACCATAATGTAATATTTCATTAACTATAATAAACAAACAGAAAACAATAACCTGTCTATGTACTACAATATTCAGGCTCATACACACTTATGAGTCATGAAGTATTTAAGTGACTTTTTATTTTAAATGTTTAGATCCCCACAGACTATGAAACAATAGCGATCCGCTCTGAATACTCTGATACACTGCATGAGACATTAAAATAGGTAGAAACCCACAACTACTGCAGTAAACTCACAGCAATTCATAAAGAGTTCTCTTGAGGGTCTTTCACGACTTTAGTTGACCCCTTCAAGGTTAGCTAACTTATTTACTTATATAAAAAAAGTTCCAAACCGTCAAGTGAGTATGCACACCTCCTTTTGATGCTGAAAGAGGTACCTTCTTCTACCAGCTGAGGTATTGACTGTGACCCTTTTAATGTGTCTGAAATAGCTCCGATGCTTTCAGCCTGGACGGCACTGAGTGCTGCTCCAGGCTGGAGTGGGACTCAGCAGAGAAGCGAAGTGTAAAAGGGAATTCCTGTCATAGCTTCCAGTTGTTCTTCCTAAATATAGAGTTTGATTCACCCTGTAACTTGGTCCCCTGTGACACTTGACCACGGTAAAAGCAGGGCTCAACTGTCAAGCAGGAGGTGTTGAAGGAACACACCTTTAGGTCCTTTTCCTGCCCTCCCTCTCCCTGTCATTCCAGGCTTTTTCCAAGTGCCAGGCATACAGCAGTAGCAGGTAACACAGCTGCCTCCCGTGGCATCTGGGGCAGTGTGTACCTCCCTACATCACACTGGGGAAGGAAATAATTATGGAGACATAATTATGAAGAAGTCACCTCAGAGGAACTATCTAGGGGAGGTGCATGACACACCAACATGACCGTAATGCTGCTGCTTTGGGAGCAAACTCACACAGCAGCTGCCCAGGGGTGTCAGCAGAGCTTTGCTCACTGCGGGACAGCCCCGCTCACCAGGGAGGGCTCCTGAGCATGTGGGGCCATAGCGACCAGCTGCCGAGCCTGCAGGCCCACGTGGGGATGAAGAAAAGCCAAAGGAGGAGTGTGTGTGAGTGTGTGTGTGTGAGAGAGAGAGAGAGAGTTGTTACAGCTCATGAGGGAAGTAAAACATTACACTATTGTGCTCATGCTGGCTGGAGTATTGTCTTAGTGAGGGCTACTGATGGAGGTCTCACAACAAGTCTTGTGTGGGGCATATCCTCAGGTTTCCACTTGCAGAAGGGCAAATTCCTGGTCATCTGTGCATCTTCACAAGAATGAATTTCCCTGTTCCTCACTCCTCTGCTGCATCTGATCTCCACTGGACCCACAATAGTAATGGTGACAAGAACAGCATCATTATGGGCAATAACTGTCAAGGATCTCCTTGGAGTTTAACTCATTTGACAAATGACCCTTTTAATTTCAAGTATCTCAAAGAGGAAGGTGACCAAGCAGGCCGCTTCATTAAGCCTGTGACTCACTCTCCACTGCTCTCTTTCCCAAAAATGTTGTCATCTGGAAGCTGATAAAGCTGACAACCAGCTCTGGGAGATTGCTGACTACTTACAGCTGCCCCCTTCCCAAGCAGCCACACGAAGATGGACGACACAGAAGCAGGCATGCAACCAGGACATGCATTGGTGTAGGTCAGGACTGCTGGACATACACAAAGCAATCAGCTCATTCCAAGGAGACCTCTATTCCTCAGATAGGCTGATTATGCCTGTTGCCAAAAATTTTGAGGCATGAGTGGACTACTGCACTTGAAACGTTGTGGAATTCCCAAGAGGACTTGCAAAGCTGTTCTTTGGCTAGAATAGAGCAGTCTGCAGCCAAAGGCCCTGCCTTCCAGGTCACTGAGACCACATTAAAACAAAGCCAGACTCAGGTAAGTGACTTTACATACCTCCTTCTGAAAGTTCATATTTACAACAAAAGTACCAGAAGGCAATGGAAGAGGCAATATATTTTTGTAACATGGTCCTGTACATTAACTTATTTCAATTTATATTACAATAGTAGTATTACAACTAGCTCTTGAATACATAGTTCTTTCTTTTGTGTATCATTAATTAAGCAAAGGTAGGCAGTTGTTTAGATTTTATAATTTCCTCGTCTTGCAAGTATGCCTAAGAAATATCAGCTCAACACTGTTCCTTTCAACAAATTTTCATAGTAGTGACAAGTAATTTTATAGGCTTAGTGATGTATAAACAAGAAATGAATTTGTCCCCTACCTAACACCCAGTAACTATCACTATACCTTAACTGTATCAAATTGTGAGAATAAAAGGAGTAAACTTAAATCCTATCACTAATATCAGAAAATCCAGGTATGGGTAGATTTTGAAGGGAAAAATAGTCCCTCAGCATTGTTTTGCAGCATATTATTGCCTTTTAATAACCCCTAGGATGCACAGCCCCATGACTTGCAGAGTCATCTGGTAAATGCATGCAGCAGACAAATTAGTAAGTAAATAAGGAGGCATATGTGCATTTCAGATGATGGATTCAGTGTCTGTCAAGTTAGGGCCCTGTACATTGACACACATGGCATAAAATTATTATGTCTCATGTATAGAGATCCAAAAGATATAGTAGAAACGCATTTATTTGAAGTGTAAAATCCCAATATAGTTAAAAGTAGACTTTTGTGGCATTGCTAGAAGCTTGTCTAATTAATATGCTTCCTGGCACAACTTACTAATTTTGAAAATGAAGTTGATAGTTAACAGAACTGTGTATGTGTCTTACTTCTCCACTGAGATATTTCACTGCATAATGTCAAAACTGTTTTTTAAAGCTGTCACTACTTAATACATTTACGTAAATGTTTTACTTTTTGAGAAACCTCATGAGCACAGATAAAACTTCCTGAGTGTGCCAAAAGAATTTATTTTTCTATTGTAGTCCACAGGGTTTTTAGTGTAATGCAAACAGTGTAATACAGTCGAAAATGCAAGTCCACACATAAGAAGTCACAACTTCAGCTCACTTGAAATAAGACTTCTTTGAAGTAAAAAGTTAAAAATAACATTTCTGGAGTCTTGCTTTAAGTTACCATGTAGCAGCAACATATTATAGATCTTTAGAAACACAAAACTTTGCTCCTCTATTTTAATCTTAACTCCATAAATTACAGTTGAAATCAAGTAAGAATAGTGGGCCCATGATATTATGTATTTGGCTAATTAATTCCTATATTTACGTTCATTTGAATTTTTTATGAAGAATATGCAAACTAAAGTTGCAGTGTAACTAGTATAACTATTCTTTTCAGTCAACACACTGGAATTACTGGTTAAGATTTAAAAAAAAGAAACTTGCTATGACACATTTATCAGAGGACTTATGAAGAGGTTCTTGAAAAAAAACGCAAACTCACCATCCATTTTCTAACTCACTTAGGTTTTATTTGTATTTTTGGACTCTTTCCCCTTTGTAAAGATGTGTCCATGTAATAATGACTTGGCACATAGACTTGATGAAAGGCAGAGATTTTTAGCAATGGTTCCCAGTCACATGTGGTCAAACAAAACTACAGAAATTTAAAATACAGTGGAACTTTCAATTTTACCAGGAATCACAAATGATTCCTATGCTTGTTTTTAACAGAAAGCAACTTTAAATCATACATTGCAGAAAGAGTATCAAATCTCAGCAATTTTATCACAAGAAAAATTGTTTGAGGAATTATCATCTACTGGTTGCCTAAGTCTTCTCATTTTGCCCAATGTCTATTTGTTAATATCAAGAAAAAAATCAAGCACTTGCCCTTGAGTTTCTACTTATATAGTTATGCTAACAACAATAACATGAAGTCATTTAAATAGTGAATGACATAAAATAGCATGTAAAAATATTTGCTGTTATCTAGTAGGCAGGAAATCAATACAAAACATATCTAAAGTAGCTGATTTTGTTTCTGTGGCATTTCTGGGCTACTAAATATTAATTCAACACCTGCATACTCTCTTTCTTTTCCATAGAAAAGCATGATGATTATTATCACAGGCTGTTCCATAGAGAAATAATTAGGCTTGTATTAAGGAGATGGTCTCATTAAAGGCTCACAGTGACCTTGTTCTGAATTTCAGAGTTACAGCATCATTAATAGTGTTGTTAGCATCATCTATGAATTTGTATTAAGTACTGAAAACTGTCTAATGAATCCAACCCATACAAATTCTAGAGCATCATAACTTTGACCACTATTACCCAAAAGCCATATTCTCTGTTGCTTTGTAGTGTGTACAATTTCTAGTTACCCAAATGTTTTCAGCAACTGAAAGATGATGATGATGATGTACAAGCAACAAATTTGTTTCCACTTTTCTCCTGGTAAATTTTAACCAGTATATCTGGCAAAGCTGGTAGCATAAGAAAGAGCAAGGCTAATAGCAGATTTTGAATATGAAATTTAAATTACATGCTGATTTTTGTAAACATCCTCTCTACTGTAATCATTCAGAATTATTTGGAAGAGAAACAAAAAACATGACACTGCACCATCAGATACTGTTCTCAGCAAGCAATTTTGACAAAACAGGAACTGACTAAATCACTGTTGAAACATTCAACAGAGAGACTACTAATTGTTTTCACAAATCAGGATAATTAAGTAAGCATGTACTATCTTAATTGATGATGCCCATCCCCATCAGCTGATCATATCAGCTGTGCACTATTAGATCTTGTCCAATTAAGACCTTACCTGGTTGCAGCAGGGAATTTTGCTGTTGACTCAGCCCAAAGATATATATGAGAACTAGGTACAGCTATACCAGAGGACTTGGGGACTTGGCACCACAGAAAGTAATTTATTTATCTGTTATGATAAAGCATGACAAAAAAATCGCAGCTATGGTCCCTCCATGAGTGCAATCATCTGAAGTATAACAAAGAGAACAATGACTAAATTCTGCTGATTTTTTTATCTGAATGGCATATTGATAGGAAAGAAATACATCTTTGAGACATTAAAAATCTGTCTGGTAGAAAGATGCACCCAGAACAAGTAAGATGAGGCAATGGGCTGCAGGAAGCAGAATTTCAATGACAGTATAAATAAATTAATGTCTTTAGATAAAAAGTTACCAAACTTAAGTACAACAGCACCAAACTGCTGAATTATATGTGATTTATCAGTTGCTATCTTTGGTTTGTACCTGTTGGACAGAAAATAAAAGATAAAGACAGTTAAATCATAGATATGAAGGTTTTTAAAGTCTGAATCAATATCAGACACTTACACCTTAATTCTCAAGAGTCATAAGGAAAAAATCCTTACCTTGTCACACCTCCAATGTTCTGAAAAACTGGAGCCATTAAGAATGAATGCTTTCCATGGTGAAGGGATGAATAAATCTATTAGTCATACCTACCTATGAAGTAGTCAAACATGATCTCTATTAAACCTTATTTTTATTGAATCAAATCTGCTACGGAAACATTTTTCAATTATCTGTGGCCTCCTGCCATAGAAATATTGCAATATGCACAGAGAAATTGCCAAAAG